TTTTTTTTTTAAACGAAATATCACATAATAGAAACTATCGTTACTTTATCAAGGACCTAAGATTCTCTTGAACCAACAAATATAACAAGTCTCAGTTTAGTTACAATATATAAATAAGCTTATAAATTCAGTTGAAATCAAACATTAATTTCAGTTATACATGTCGTAGGATTCATTACTATTTCTTTTTATTAATTGATATACAATTTGCTAAACGAACCTTAAAACTATTCTTGATGTCTAAATATAAAATTCTTTAATTAGTTACTTATTAAAATAAGATGAATTGACAATTTGAATTTTTGCTTGACACCCTTCTTATCATTTTTATTTAATATGCACCATACATGGTATGGTATAAATGTTTTATGTATCAATTATCATTCCAAGTAATTGTTTAAGTGCATTGTACTCATGATGAAAAATAGAAAGCAAACTTTCCCAAAGCTTTTGCCTAAGAAGTCATTATTGAAGAGCCCTTTGCTCATATCATTCATATAGTTTGAAGTATATTCATTATGAGATTCTTCCACTATCTAAAGGAATTTTTTATTTTTCTCATTTTTATATGAACCTAATTAATTGGAAAAATAAGTGGGCCTAAATTTCATAAATAGACAATTTAGTTCCTTGGCTCAAGTTTTTTTGTACAATCCTCAAAATTAATTATGTTGGGAGTATTTTCAAATGCCAAATCATTTTGGTATTTGATCTAAACCTACACTGCCAAATAGATGAGGTCTCCCAATCTTTTCAGTTTGAAAGAACAAAAATAAAATGGGTCCACGTCGATGGACATGTTTTTAAAGAGTGGTCGATGGGTGATAGAAATAGAATTATCGATTGTAATATTCTCAGCAGTGGAGATTCTTTGGTCGGGTCTTCGAATAAAAGTTTATTGGTTCTTTATATAACATAGTTCTTTTAACAAATTACAAACGAATAAGTCGTTTTTACCTAAATTTTTTTTCAATATTTAATAAGTTGTTTCTAATTGAAGAACTTTACTAGAAAATTCAGTTGATAATTATTTTATTAATTGATATATAAATTTTAACGTTGAGCATTAAATGAGGTTACCCTTAATTGATTAGAGTAATTAATTCTAGGTTAATGTTGTTAATTGATTCCATTACTAGGATAGTGTAATTAATTATAGGTTTACGTGCTGATATTTTAATTATGAAGAAATAATAGGAGCAGTGTAATAATTGTCAACATTTTAAATATTTTGTGCTTTTAAATCGAGTACAATTATAAGCGGAGTAAATATCCAAATTGTTGTTAGCTTAGTTTAGAATGAATAAATTACTTAATTTGAAAGTAATTCCTATATTAATATTAAATATTTAATCTGAGCTCGTGTTTGATGGAGATTAAAATTAGATTTTGGTAAAAAAATTGATGAGACATATATACGAAAAGTTGTTGATTCCAAGAAATATGTGATTAAAATTCATTGTTAACTTTTATTTATATTAAAATCTGAATTTTAGTCTTCAAGAAATAGGGACTAAGCTCCTATTTGAATCACATTATTTTTTTTCATTTTCATTCTTCTACTCATTTTCAAATACACATTTTTCATTAAAATAATATTTTCCATCACATCAATAAATTTTCCTTCTTTTTCAACCACATATTCTCCATCACATAAAAAAATAATACATTATTGGATTGATAAATAACATTTTTCACTATAACTTAAAAAATAACATAAAATTGCAGCAATGGTACCAAACCTTTCACTTTTTTGCAGACTTTGTCCAAACTTTTATTTTGTGCCACCCACGGTACCAAACCTTTAAACAATTTGCAACGGAGGTCCGCATGGACGGTTTCGGTCCAGTTGAACGTTAGTTGACAAAAACATAGTAGTTTTTGACCAATTTTGACAAAATTAGGAGGGGTAAAATGGTAACTTGACAATTTTCTCATTAAATAAATTTAAAAAAAAAACAAAAAACTTGCAATCAGTTCTCCTTCCCGGCATCAACAGTGTCGGCACCACCACCACCACGCCGCCTATTCCCACCACCACCACCACCACCGTAAATCACAAATGAAGAAAATCACGTTCTACACCCAAAAATGGAATCTAAATCACAGCCACCACCAACACATCGCCATGGCCACCACCCATCACCCACCAAATCCCCATCATCCTATCCCAAACTAGAAAACTATCTACCACCACCACCATCACCGATGCCAATAACTACCCATTTTCGAACTTCAAACTCAATTTTTTTTCTTCTTCAAATGCTTGGAAAATCTTGCTGGATTTCTGTAACTTGGATTAAAAATTTAATAGGTTAGGGGCTTAGTGTTGGGGTTGATGATAGCACCAATCATTGCCTCTGTAAGACATATATTAAACTTGGGTTGTTTTCTAAGAAGAAATGGTCAAAGAAATTAGAAGCGGGCTTTTTTAAAATTGATATATATTGGGATCTCTCTTCGGCTAAATTTGGATCCGGGCCGGAGCCAATAAAGGGATTTTATGTGGAGGCTTTTATTTGAGAAGCAAATGATTTTGCTTCTTGGAGACATTGGGAAGGAAGCTTTGAAGAAAACAAGTTGCGTCCCTGCCCCATTACCATTTAGTGTTGTTCTTATATCGAAAAGAGAACAAATTTTTGGGAAGATGGTATTCAGCACTCGGGCTCAGTTTTGTAACATTGGCGGTGGTGGTGGGAGGAGGAGGAGGAGGCAGAGGCGGCGACGATACTGGCAATGTGCTGGTGGTGCCGTCACTATTGATGCCGGGAAGGAGAACTGATTGCAAGTTTTTTTTTAATTTATTTGATGAGAAAATTGTCAAGTTACCATTTTACCCCTCCTAATTTTGTCAAAATTGTTCAAAAACTACTATTTTTGGTCAACTAACAGTCAACTGGGCGGAAACCATCCATGCGGACCTCCGGTGCGAATTATTTAAAGGTT